GAGGTTTCCTCCGCCAGCTATTGGCTCATTAACATTGCAAATATATTCATTTGTGTCACCCCTCTAAACGTCAGTTATGATTAACATTTGAGTAGTTTGCCCATTATTCTGCATCGTCTCGAACATCAATCGCCGATCAATTCCTGCTATAGTAATGTTACCCCATCTCAATGTTCTGTGTGGATCATCAGTCCTCCACTCCACGATGTGATCAGCCTCCAAGTTTGCAGCCACACACCTCATCTCAACTCGCCCGCCCTCCATACGATCAGCCTCCGGTGTTACGATCCACGCAGTCACAGTTGTCTCTGCACTGACAACCATCAGGATTCTGTTAGCATGAAGTACACACCAGCAAGACAGCAAACAGAAATACACGGAGACCATCCTATCCATTTTAAAAGTTTCAATTCAAACAAGGCTTAGAATGAGCGTTTGAAATTAGGAAAACTGCATGCATTGCAGTTGCACAGAATGTATGATATTGCAGTATTTCCGCGTTCATATTCGTCCACGACAGACATCAGCCGGCGAACGTTGCCAAAAAGGAAAAAGTTTTTCCTGCATTTCGCATTGTCACGGGGGTCAACCGTGCCGTGCGTAGTGTATTCACTAAGCTGGCATGCCATAACAATTATAACACTCCTGCCAGAAACTGAATAATGACGCTTTGTAGATGAGGCTGCGCTGCAAGAGTGTCAGATCCCGAGGGTGTATATAGAAACAAAGTGCGCCCTCAGCGGTTCTAGACTCATTTTTGTTATAAGTTGGGATGACTTTTGTAGAAATCAAATAAATCATATTCAATGTGTCAAAAACACCCATACGACAAATATTGGCAATAATATTCACGCCAAATGAACTTCATACAGTCAAATACTACTTGAATACAACCTATTGAGAGTTCTTATTTTCAAACGTTTGTTCCCAAAGCAAAAGTTAAGGTTCACATATTGCGTGTTGGAAGTCGTACGCTGAACTATTTTGTGTCAAATTAATTGTACTCGTATAATCGTCTACACTGAAAAAAAAAATATGCTACAAATGTTTACTTTAAAAAGTGCCTCTGTACTTCTATAATCGTCTATGCTAAAAAATGCTGCAATCTGTTCTTTTAAATGCTTCTCTGTTCTGGCAATTGTGCACCAAATGAGGACGCTATATACAAAAATTCGGATGCAGAAAGAAGCAAATGAATTAACAAAAAGCTCGTCTCAGAGTATATTTTGTAAGCCTTTCCTTTTTAATTCTTGAGTATTGTACACAAACTTTGAAGTTTTAGATCGCGTTGGCGTAAAACGGAGGAGGGTCATCGACACCACGAAGTAACACTCTGCCGTGTTAAACCATATTTTTTTCGATTTTCAGATTTTTGGATTTTTAAACATTATTCATCAAGGCCTACCATTGCACGAAGTTTCAAAGCTTCAAGAGCTTTACTTTAATAATTACGCTAAGTATCCATGGCAACTTTTGCGCAAAAGTGACAATTTTCGTTTTCACGAAGTAACACTCAAGTTCCATTTACCATTGCAATGCATGGCACGCACTCTGCTTATAAGTGAGCAAAAACGTTTTCACGAAGTAACACTCTTCTTGTAATAAGTTGTATGAGCGCGCGCGCGCAGACCTGAAGTTGCACTTTCCTCGTGTTGAATAAATTGAAGAGTGTTACTTCGTGAAAACGAAAATTTACAGTTTCGCAGCCTTTTCGGTTTCACGAACTAACACTCACCTTTTTTCTCTTATTTCTTGTTTATTTATTACACAAACGGGTGAAAAACAGCAGATTTAATTAATTCAATTCATCATGTGTCCACAACGAGAAACCCAACTGAAAATACTCTGTCGTTTTGACGCAAAGTGTTGTTTTAGAAGGCGTTCAACTTTAGTTGCCGTTTTCTCCGATTGCTAGTTTTTACTGGTATGTAGATGGGTGTTACTTCGTGGTGTCGGTGACGAATTGTTTAAGTTCGCTCTGTTCTTCATAACCGAAGCGTACACGGGTCCAGTGCTTGTCGATGATGACGGTTGGTTGCCATCCTCTGCATCCAGATGCTCCTGCTGTGGTGATGGAGGAGTTCCGTGAGCCTCAGACGACCGTTGGTGATCCTGCTGGTTAAGAGTACCGTCCTGCGAGCTGCTTATACGCTCAGGCTTCGGTTTAAAGGGCTTGGGTTTGATTGGAACTCCTTGCATCGGTGGAACCATTGCAGTCGGTCTGGGAGGATCTTCAGACGGTCCAAAGTTGGAATCTGATCCCTGCGAATCAAAGACAGGATTGCTGTATGTCTGCTCCATGGACTGATGCGAGTTGCCTTCCCTTGCAATATGGTTAGTGTTTGACGATGTCTGTCTATGCGGAGTAGCGTACAGCGGGGTAGCGCTTCCTTGTGCCCCCCTCGTAACTGGAGATGCACTGGAGTGCCTGCTCAGTTCTGGTAACGGGCTTGCAGTCTGGGATATTTCGCTTGGGTCGTAGTAAATGTTAACACCAGTGATTAGAGGGTTATCCTGGGTTTGTTGGTGTGAATCCTGGTAGATATTGGGTTGAGAATGTACAGTTTGGTCAGTTGTAAACACGGTGTCATCGGGTGGGTCTGAAGTTTGTTGGGTGTGCGATGCTTCAGGCTTGGGCTGCGAGTCACACAGACTGCGTCTGCGGCAAATGATTATCAAAATCACAAAGAGGACGAGTGCAGTTACTCCCCCTGCTGATGCACCTGCTATGATGGCTGTTGGGGAACCTGTCGTTGTCTTTGTATGACCCGATAACAATGTCGACTGCATGAGTGTCTTCGAGTCTATACTTGATGACGTTGTTGCTACCATTGATACTGATGTAAACATAACATTTGGTTCTATAGTTGACTTCATCGACGGTTGTACCGAGGGGCTTATCGCTTCCATCACACGAATTGGAACGATGGTACAAGAACAATTCATATCAGGGAAATACGTTGAATTTATGATGCACCGGAACATAACATTATGGTCGTCGACATCGACTGTCAAATCTAAAAATGCTGACAGTGCATTGTCACTATTTGCTGTTAACCATGTGTATCTATTGTTGTTTAAGCAGGTAGAAGGTTGAAAAATAATCATCATTGCTGCTGGATTACCTGGCTCTGAAAAACAATTCATAATCAATTCCGTTCCATTGTCCACGGTGTGAGGTCCATCAGGGGAGCACATAGGAAAGGACTCATCGGGGAAGTACAGCACAGTCAGGTTCACCTTAGCAGTGGCTTCAATGAGGCTTCCTCCGTCAGCTATTGGATCACGAAATTGCAAATATATTCATCTGTGTCTCCCCTCTGTAAGTCAGTTATGGTGAACTTTTGAGTAGTTTGCCCATTCAATGTCTGCATTGTCTCGAAAATAAATCGCGGATCAGTCCCTGCTATAGTAAATTCATCCCATCTCAGTGTAAGGGTTGGATCTTCAGTCATCCACTCCACAGTGTGATTAACCCCCAGGTTTGTAGCCACACACCTCAACTCAATTCGCCCGCCCTCCTTACGATCAGCCTCCGGTGTTACGATACACGCAGTCACTGTGGGTTCTGCACTGACAACCATCAGAAATCCACCAGTAGAACACCACACAGCCAGCAGGAACAGACACATTGAAATCCTTCTAGCCATTGTTCTTGGCTCTCGATTAAAATTCATTTTCTTGCAAATCCAAATTCAAACTATTAACCACGTTTTAGCTGCGTCCTTAACCGTATGCATGTAATACAAAACTGCAATAGTACGCTTTGCAAGTGGGAAGTTGGCAGTTTATTTCCAACGGAGATGTCATTCTACCCCCGGGAACTTCAACTCAACAATACAAAACCACAGTGGGTTTAATTCCATTTGAAACTGATATTTTTGTTTGGACACGGTTCACCGTAAACCAGGCTGCAGCAACAATAGAACGCTCGTGGGAAGGGTAGGTGGCAGCCAGACGTTTCCGCGTTATTTTCTGTTACCATAGCAAACTCGTTGACGCGCATTTCAATCTGTAAAGTTGACTGCCACCTAAGCACCTTAGCAACTTCAGTGAGCGAGTTTGGAATTCTACGGGGAATTCCCTCTTGCGTGTAAATTGTTCATAATAACATGCTTTGAAAGAGATCCAACGCCTCCTGTAGGCTTTGCTGAATTCTGATATAATCTGGTGATTTAAATTTATTTAAAGGGCGCCACTACTTATGAGCTAGTACTACCACACCTGTCCATCCCCAAACCTTTTGCCATCCCCCCCCCCCCGAAAAAAACCCAAAAGATGAACATATTTGTAGGGTAAAATATGCCATTTTCTTTGCCCCATTGTTGTTAAGGAGACCAGGGCAAGTTTCGGTATTTGAAGCTATGCTGTCTTTGTAATGAAATCGAAAAAAAGGAAAGAGGTAGAAATTAAGGTGATAACTAATATATCGTGTCATATTTTCTTTTTGTCTAATTTATTCCAAATACCTTACTGACACGCTTCTATTTGCAGTGTTAATCGAAATATAAAAACTGTATAAAAGTCAAGTTTCTAGGTCGTATTTTTTTAAGATGCGCCCTCAAGAAAAGGAATGTGCATTGTGACTTGAACCAGCTGGCAATCCAGGGTACAGTGTTAAAATAATTAATTTCCTGCAGTGTTCGCAAAATGCTTGCATTTTACATGATTATTTCCTTGAAGACGTTTGGACTATTTTGATTTGAACAAATAAAGATATCAATCACGACCTTGTTAAAACGTGTCTTGCTTTCCTGTAGAAGATAGCGATACTAATAACATGAAGCAACTGGATAAATATATCTTCTGCTTACAGTTTTATCAACGATTTAAATATTTATAGCAAAACGGATTTTGCAGTTATTTAAAGACGAAGATTAAAGGCCCTCGTTTCGCGGGCGATTACCGGCAACCGGCAGGTCCCTTTTAAACCAGACGTTTCCCACAACCATTCCCTTATTTTTATCGAGAGCATGGCGTGGCCGTAGTCATGTTCTGGTATGACACTTGAAGACCAGATCTGTGTGTTCTGTGTTAGAATCGTCTTCATAATAGGTTTGATGCATGTTTATTATACTGCTTTTTGCACAATTTGCATCAAGTTTCTAATACTCTGTGTACCCATTATCTCCTGGGTTTTTTCCCTTTTAATTGTCGGGCATGATTTCCAAAATTTCGGCCTCAACTTTTTCTAATCTCCCCGATTGCAAAGCAAAACCATGGAAACCAAAATAATGTTATCATTGCAAGAGCCTTGAACTTTAGAAACTTATTTTGCCTGTACTTTGCTAGATGGAATATCACATTTTAATACAAAGGTGAGCGATTCTGGGATATAGAATTAACTTCAGTCTTTGTAATAGTTACTTGTATTGTCTGTTTTCATTTTTGTTCTGAAGATTTGAATTAGAGCCTATAATCATTTACGGGGCTTGAATTAGAGATTTGAATTAGAGTTTCATTAATATTTATGTGGCTTGGACCACTTCATACTCGGTGTGTTTAGGGTCTGGCTTGTCGTAGTCATGCTCTTGGCTTTCATTGTCATCCTCTACTGCCTGGTATTCGGCATGACTCTCCGTAGGTGTGTCATGAACAGTCGCTGGTTCCACGTAGCCTCCGTTAGCTTCCCCATCTCGTGTAGTGTTGCTAGTAGTTGCCTCCTTCGCTCCCAGTTCCATGTACTCTCTGTTGCCCTCATCAGTTGATTTCTGTAGCTCCACGTAGGGATCAACGTTAGACACTTGTGTCTCAGTTCGAGTCGTTGGGCCCTTATTGCAACATCCCTGCTGGCGGTTGCAAAGACAGACGATGATGGCGGCCATAGCAACGAGGAGGACGCCCCCAGCGGCGACTGCCGCTGCGATAGCTGATGAATGAATCGTTGATGATGTTGGGTTTGTCAGAGTTTGTGTTATGGTTTCTGTCGTTAATGATGTCGAGGTAAATGAGGGCTTTACTGTAGCTTGATGCTCTGTTTCTAGTGTTTCAGTTGTCAATTCTGCTGGAGAGCCTGTTACTTGAATCGGTCCGATGGTACAAGAACGATTCATGCCAGGAAAATAAGTTGAAGTAATGATGCACTGGAACATCGCATTGTGATCGCCAATACCGACTGTCAAATCCAATGATGCAAACAGGGTATCATTATTGAAGGTAATCATCCACATGTGGGTATTAAAACCTGTTGGAGATTGAGAAACTTGCATCAAGACTGCCGAGTTACCGTACTCAGATGAACATCGCATATTCAACTGTGTTCCAGTGTCTACTGTGATGGGTCCATCAGGCGAGCAGATAGGGAAGGACTCGTTGGGGAAGTACAACACAGTCAGGTTCACTTTAGCAGTGGCTACAATGAAGTATCCTCCGCCAGCTATTGGACCGTGAACATTGCAAATATATTCATCTGTGTCACCCCTCTCTAGATCAGTTATAGTAAACATTTGAGTAGTTTGCCCAATCATTGTCTGCATCGTCTCGAACACAAATCGCCGACCAGTTCGTGCTAAAGTAACGTTACCCCATCTCAGTGTAAGGGTTGGATCTTCAGTCATCCACTCCACTACGTGATCAGCCTCCAGGTTTGTAGCCACACACCTCATCTCAACTCGCCCGCCCTCCTTACGATCAGCCTCCGGTGTTATGATCCACGCAGTCACTGTGGGTTCTGCACTGATGACCATCAGGATTCTGTTAGCATGAAGTATACACCACCAAGACAGCAAACAGAAATACATGGAGATCATTCTATCCATTTTTAATATCTTCGATTCAACAAGGCAGTGTTAGCATGAGAGTTTGAAATAGGAAAAACTGCACGCAGTACAGTTGCTGATAATTTATATTGCACGCACAGTATTTCCGCGTTTATTTCCATCTACGACAAATATCAGCGGGCGAACGTTGCCAAAAAGGAAAAAGTCCCTTCTGCAATTCGCATAGTCACATGGGTCAGCCGTGTCGTGCGTAGTATATTCACTAAGCTGGCATGCCATAACAATTATAAATGCACTCCTGCCCCAAAATGAATAATGACGCCTTTGTGTATAAAGTCTCATATACCGAGAGTGTCGAAACAAAGTGCGCCCTCAGTAGTTCTGGATTCATTTTTGTTGTTGTGAGGATTTTCGTTAAAGTTTCAAACAAATCATATTCAATGTACAAAACGCCTATAAGAAAAAAAATGGCAATTATATCCACGCCAAGTGATACTTCATACAGTCAAATACTACTTTGAATACAAATTATAGGGAGTTGTTATTTTCAAATGTTTGTTCCTAAAGCAGAAGTTTACATATTACGTGTTTGAAGTCGTACGCTGAACTATTTTGTGTCATAAACATTTTTCGTGTTTGAACTGTGTCATAACTTAATTGTACTCCTAGTACAATCGTTTACACTAAACAAAATGCTGCAAATGTTTACTTTAAAAAGCGCCTCTGTATGGAAGTTGTACCAAATGAGGGCGCTATAGAAGAAAATGATAACACGAAAAGCTCGTCTCAGTAAATTTCAGTAGAAATTTCTTTGTTAATTTCTGAGTATTGTACACAAAATTTGAAACAAACAAATGGAGGCAGGTCTGTTTCTGTTCGTGTCATTTGTTTTTAATTTGCTCTGTTCTTCATAACCGAAGCGTACACGGGTCCAGTGTTTGTCGATGATGACGGTTGATTGCCGCCCTCTGCATCCAGATGCACCTGCTGTGGTGATGGTTGAGTTCCGTGAACCTCAGGCGACCGTTGGTGATCCTGCTGGTCAAGAGTACCGTCCTGGGAGCTGCTTACACGCTGAGGCTTCGGTTTAAAGGGCTTGGGTTTGATTGGAACTCCTTGCACTGATGGCACCATTGCAGTCGGTCTGGGAGGATCTTCAGACGGTCCAGGGGTGGGGTCTGATTCCTGAGAATCAAAGACAGGATTGCTGTATGTCTGCTTCGTGGAATGGTGCGAGATTCCTTCCCTTGCATCATGTCCAGAGCTGGTAGTTGACTCTCTATGCGGAGTAGCGTACAGCGGGGTAGCGCATCGTTGTGCCCCCCTCGTAAATGGAGATGCGCTGGAGTGCCAGCTCTGTTCGGGTAACGGACTTGCAGTCAGTGATATTTCGCTTGGGTCGTAGTAAATGTTTACACCAGTGACTGGAGGGCTAGCTTGGTTTTGGTGGTTAGAATCTTGGTAGATATTGGTTTGTGAGTGACGAGTTTGGTCAGTCGTGGGCACGGTGTCATCAGGTGGGTCTGAAGTTTGTTGGATGTGAGAAGATTGAAGTTTGGGTTGCGAGTTAATACACAGACAATTACGTCTTCGGCAAACGATAATGAGAATCACAAGGAGGATGAGTGCAGTTACTCCACCTGCTGATGCACCTGCTATGATGGCTGTGTGGGAACCTGTTCTTGTCTGTGTTGTTGACGACAATGCTGTTTGTATCATAGGCTCAGTAGAGGGGTTCTCCGTTAAGATAATTGGTCCAATGGTACACGAACGATTCATATCAGGGAAATAAGTTGAATTAATGATGCACTGGAACATAACGTTGTGATCATCGCCGTCGACCTTCAAATCTGATGATGCGAACACTGTGTCATTAGTGACGTTAATTATCCAAGTGTACATATGGGTATTAAGATTAGAAGGAGGTTGAGAAACATGCATCATGACTGCCGAGTTACCGTACTCAGATGAACAGCTTATATTCAACTGTGTTCCGATTTCTACTGTAATGGGTCCATCAGGGGAGCAGATAGGGAAGGACTCATTGGGGAAGTACAGCACAGTCAGGTTCACCTTAGCAGTGGCTGGAATGAGGCTTCCTCCGCTAGCTTTTGGAGCGTTAACATTGCAAACATATTCATCTGTGTCACCCCGCTGTAAATCAGTTATGGTGAACATTTGAGTAGTTTGCCCATTCATTGTCTGCATCGTCTCGAACATAAATCGCCGGTCGGTTGCTACAGTAACGCTACCCCATCTCAGTGTTATGCTATGATTCGTAAAGATCGTCCACTCCACGACGTGATCTGCCTCCAAGTTTGTAGCCACACACCTCATCTCAACTCGCCCGCCCTCCTTACGATCAGCCTCCGGTGTTACGATCCACGCAGTCACTGTGGGTTCTGCGCCGACAACCATCAGTATTCTACCTGATGAACACCACATAACCAGCAGGAACAGACACATTGAGATCCTTCTATGCATTATTCTCGGCTCTGGATTAAAATTCATTTCAAGCAAATCCAAATTCAAATCAAGTTTAACGTTCTAGCTACGTCCGTCCCGTATAGGCATGTAATGTAAAACTGCAATAGTACCCTTTGCAAGTGGGAAGTTGGCAGTTTATTTCCAACGATAACGTCATTCTACCCCCGGGAACTTGAACTCAACAATGCAAACCACAATGGGTTTAATTCCATTTGAACCTGATATTTTGTTTGGACACGGTTCACCGAAAACCAAGCTACAGTAACAATAGAACACTCGTGGGAAGGGTTAGCGCACTTAGAGGGCAGCCAGACGTTAATCCGCTTTCTTTTCATTATCAACCCAAACTTGTGTATGCCAATTTTAAAAGGAATATGTAAAGTTGCCTGAAACCTCCGTGCAGCAGAAATCCAGCTGAGTAAATTCAATGGAGAAATTCTCTGATGCGTGTTTTCAGCGTAAAATGTTGTTGAAGAGATGCAAGGCCTTCTGTAGATTTTGTTGTCATTCCCTCACAACAATCAAGGCGATGTTTGTCATATTGTTAAGATGTTTTAAAATATATGGGGGTTGGGGGCCTAAAGTATATTTTTTCCCATGGCTTTAAAGGAGAAGTGGAGAAGTTTCCGTATTTTAAAGGGGTCGTGCGATATTTTTTTCAGGAACAGATCTTATCCTCTTAAATATGAAAACTATTTGAGCAAAATATCCAATGGCTGTAACATCGTGGTTTCTGCCCGGAATGATATTACAGTTGTGTTCATGAATATGGAAATTCGCATTTTTAGCATAAAAACAAAAAGGCACCAAAACAACCTTCAACATGGCAAAACGAAAATTGAAAATAAGGTTAAATGGGACAAGAAAGTGTATTTAAAGGATTCCATCACAAACGTTACATTGCATTGGCCCTGTATGGTTTGCTGTCTTCGTAATGAAGTGGAAATACAAATGGATGGAGGCAGAAATAAAGGGTAATAACTGACATATTTCAGCCTGTCTATATTAATATTTCTTTATACCTTTTACCGATACTCTTCTATTTGCAGTATTAATCAACACATAAAAGCTGTATAAAGAGACAAGTTTCTATAGTCGTTTCCTTTATGAGGTGCGCCCTCAAGAACAGAAATGCGCTGTGCAACTTGAACAAGCTGCTTTCCATTACAGTTCAATAATTGTTAATTGCCTACAATGTTCGCAATATTCTTGCACTTTTATCAAATAAACATATCAATTTAAACCTTAAGAAAATTTTCATGGTATAGTGTCGAAAATAGCTAATCAAATAATATGAAGCAACTGGATAAGTAGCTCTTCCACTTACAGTTTATCAAACATGTTGCATATTTACGGATGAAAAATTTCATAGTTATTTACATATGAAGATTAATGGCCGGCCATCGCCTTGCGGGCGATTGTTAGCGACCAGCAGGCCCCTATTAAACTGGTTTTAAACCAGACCTTTAATACTACATTACCAAGACATCATTCCCTTATTGTTTATTGACTGGCATGACCGTAACCATGATTGTTCTGGTAGACATCTTCTGATTTGTGTATTTTACACTAGATGGCTCTTTTGGTACATGATTCCTGTGTGTATCTACATGTACTTAATAATAATAATACCGGAGTCTTATATAGCGCACTTATCTACCAACAATTAGGTACTCAAAGCGCTGGTAATTATTTTCAAGGACAGGTCAATGCAGTTTTATATCCCTTCCATGATTTCGGAAAACTCTGCCTGTATTTTTTTCTTTTCTCTGCGATTGCTGTATTGTGTGCTTTCTTTGTTTCTCTAAAGATTTGAATTGGAGTTTCATTCATTTACGGGACTTGGACCACTTCATACTCGGTGTGCTTAGGGTCTGGCTTGTCGTAGTCATGCTCCGGGCTTTCATTGTCATCCTCTTCTGCCTGGTATTCGGCATGACTCTCCGTAGGTGTGTCATTAACAGTCGCTGGTTCCACGTAGCCTCCGTTAGCTTCCCCATCTCGTGTGGTGTTGCTAGTAGTTGCCTCCTTCGCTCCCAGTTCCATGTACTCTCTGTTGCCCTCATCAGTTGATTTCTGTAGCTCCATGTAGGGATCAACTTTAGACACTTGTGTCTCAGTTCGAGTCGTTGGACCCTTATTGCGACATCCCTGCTGGCGGTTGCAAAGGAAGATGATGATGGCGGCTATAGCAACGAGGAGGACGCCCCCAGCGGCAACTGCTGCTGCGATAGCTGATGAATGAATCATTGATGGCGTGGGGTTGGTCAGGGTTTGTGTTGTGGGATTTGTCGTTGATGATGTCGATGTTGATGAGGCTTTTGCTGTTGCTTCACGTTCTGTATTTAGCGTTGCTGTCGTCAATCCTGCCGGAAATTCTGTTACTCCTGTTACTCGAATGGGTCCGATAGTACAAGAACGATTCATGCCAGGAAAATAAGTGGAAGTAATGATGCACCGGAACATAACATTATGATCGTCGACATCGACTGTCAAATCTAATGATGCAAACAGATAACCATTATTTATGGAAATCCTCCACGTGTACATGTTGGTGTTAAG